CTAGAATTGATTCATATAACTCTAATTTTGAAGTAGATTATGAGTAGAAAACTCCTAAATGAAGAAAACGCTGAATTTCAGTTAGAGCTTAATAAAAACTTATTCACTGAAAGTGAAGATGCAATTATCTTCTCATCCAAGTTCTAAGACCCCATGATACCTATTCACAGATCTCACGTTCCGAGAACCCCTGTAACAACCCCAGTGCTGGTGAACTCCCTAGTCACGCAGTATGTTCTCTCTCTCCATGGCTCAATAGCAGGAAAGTGCTGTCTTGCACAAAAGCGCGATTCATCACACACCGCTTTACCAGTTGGGCTTAGTTTCATTCTCTGGTATCATTTAGGCCTATACTCAAACCATGGCTTATGACTGATCATTTTTTCCCATTGGTTAACGGCATGGCACACAGTCGAACCGATTTCTACGGGGTACGATGCGCTCCAGGTCAGGAAATGGGGCACGCGCTGGCTCATGAAATTTTAACTCCAGCTCCTCTTGTGTGTGCCCTGGGCTACGAGGTAAAACGCAGTTCTTTCCTTACTACGGGTCGCAGTCAAACCGGGTTAGTCTGAAAAAGGATCTCCTGACCTCAGCTCTATGACATCTTGCACTAGATAACTGTTGCGGGAACTGCACGGAGTGCGTGGATGATGCCTGAGACGTCCCGGGGTCCCTGCCCGCACACGCCCATGCCAGCAGCACCCACCCAGCTGTGAAAACCAAAATGTCTCCGGACACCTGCATACATCCTCAGGGAACAAAGCCGTCCCTGTGGAGAACTATGCACTTAGAGCAAGCGTTCTAGTTCCTCCGATTCTTCTCTTTCTGTGACAAAATTCCCCATCTACTTACCATTTTGTTCACTTCGCTCTTGAACACACTGGTGTTCTATCCACCCGGCCTGACGATATTTTCAGAACCGATCACAGAACTCCACACGTGTAGTTCTGGTCAACTGGAAGCACACTGCTATCTCTAATACTATACCTGTAATTGATGCACCCTAAGATTGCCTTAGTTCTTTGGCCTCCACCTAATATTGTTGATTCACATGAGGTTCCAGTAAAATTTAAATTCTTGAGTCATCCGCATGTCAGTTACCACCTGATAACATTTCTCCAGCTTGGTGCTGATCTGTCAAACACCTTTGAGTACAACTGCTTCCTCATTCATCTAATTGCACCTAGACCCAGCCCGCAAACACAAGAACATGATGAAAGACGTTGCTGACCTCTCTGATAAAGTCCAGATACATCGCGGCTAATGCAGTTCCTTGACCTACACACCTGGGAACCCCACTCCCTCTCTCACACGTGTGCCCACACACAAAATGCCATCACCCTATCTACCGAGCCGTGCTGGGTCCTATGAGCGGATTCCACGGCTTCCTGACCCCCAGGCGGTTTCCCTCACAGTCTGGCCACAGTCACGTTTTGAGAACACCACCACCAAGAACATCTCTAGGAGCGGCTGTTAAGTTCAACCTTTCTACAGTGTCCACACATCCAGGTCACATGTGGCCTTTTTCAATTTTTACTGTGTAATAAACAAACATCTTTATGGAGATCCGTATTTTAAAAATTATATATTAAAAATATAGCATATAGCAACTGAAGAAACAGTAACACATTTGACTACATAAACTTCCAGCGGGAGATCAAAAAAAGCACACGACAGGTAAAGTCTAAAGACAAGTGACACACAGGGGGGAAAAACCTCTCCAGCGAACAGGGCAGAAAAACAGCTTTCTAACACATAAAGAGTTCCCGGGGCTGGGGTGCCCTCCTCACTCTGCCAACAAGCAAGACCTGCCCGGGGTGCTGTTCTCCAGCGGGGACCCCGGGCCCCGCGGGCGTGTCCAGGTTGCGGCGCCCACTGGGGAGAAGCTCCCACCCGGCACGGACCGGCTTCCAGGTGACATTCCGAGGAGCAGCTTCACAGCCGAATGAACCACTGCAGAGGCCCCCCACCTCACAGTCAGCCCCCTGCCCCAGCCGCCCTCGAGCACCGTCCACGGAGCAACGGAGTCAGCCGGCCCAACGCCGCCGCTCCGTCCTTATGCGGCCGCTGCTGCTCCTGTGGCTGCCGCTCTGGTGGTCACACTGGCCCCTGGCCCGGCCCCTCCTGCAGCTGCCACACCAAGAGGTGGGGTCTGGGGGGGGGGGGCGCCTCTGCTACTGAGGCTGAGGGCCTCATCCTGTGAGAATAAACCGTTCCTTGCTCCCCCCAAAATAAGACATAATGGAGTTCCTAAAATTTGAGAAGAACACCGCCAAGAACTCATTGAAGCATGTGCCAAAAGAAAGAAAAAGAGAAAAAGACACCAGACAGCTCAGAAAAGAGGTAAATATGACTCGAATATAAAAAAGGATGAACTACCTCGCCAATGATAAAATGACTTCAAAATAAGACGACAATAAGATGCCATTTTTCAACACCCTAACTGGTAAAAATCTGAAAGTCTGACAACATACTCTATTTTGGGTGCTGGCAAGAAAAGGAGCAGAATTTGGCAGTATTTGGTAAAATCAAATCGACACGTACCTTCTGCCAGAGCAGTCCCACTTCTGTGGATCTATCCACTGAGAAGCTGGCAAAAACGCGAACTGCTTCACGCAAAGTATTCACTGTAGCACAAGTCAGGGAACGCGCCAGCAAAGGGCACAGGCTGAATCAACCCTGGCGCTTGCACATTCTGCAATAAAGGAGGGAGGGAGCTCTTCACACGGCGGCGACGCGACGACAGGCGCAGTCAGGTGGACACAGCACCTGACCACACCTACAGAAGGAAACCTTCCTTGGGCGGATAACCCAGAATGTCAGAAAGATGGAAGCAAAGCTTTTCTAAATGCAACTGATGCCACAGTTTCAACTTTGGAACCATTGATAATTTTAAATCATAAAAATTAAATTTTAACACAAAGTAATCACTGAAAATTTAAACCAAACTGAAATTAATTGTCTAACAATATATCAGGTTGGTTACATCACCACACATAAAAATACCATTTTCAAGTGACGTTTTGACTTTATATTCCTAGCAGAGTCTAAGGACAAATATCTTACAAAGAAATATTAATTTTATTATTAGCAGTAATATTGGCATTATGTATAATATAGTTAACTATATGACAATAAAGCAAACAAGTAATTATGCCAATACAGTTATAAAACAAGATTTTCAACGTAAGAGAGAGAAGATTAAAATTTGTTTTTAAATCACAGGCGCCTTGATTTCGGCTCTGGTCATAATCTCACAGTATGTGAGATCGAGCCCTGCGTTAGTGCAGAGCCTGTTGGGATTCTCTCTTTCCCTCCAAATAAATAAATAAACACTTGAAAATAATTTTTTAAAGCGAAGAAATTAAGTAAAAACCCTATCAGGCCAAATATGAATTGGAAATGTGAGAAAAAATTCACAGATATTTTTTCCCACAAAGAATAAATATCTCCTAACTCTTTCCACTACAAAGGCCATGAAGCAAAAGACAAGTGGTAAAAAAGAAGCATTTCTAGCACTTAGACTGTGATCTCTAAATGTTACTCTCCACTAAAAGGGGACAGGGCTCCTTGGAGGAATGGCTGAACCTACATACCAGTCCGAAACTGACAAGAACAGTTTGGGACATCTCGTTTTGCCAGAAAAAGGAAGTTCTCAAAAATGAACTGGCTCATTCAAAAAAACCCTCAAGCCAACCGAAAGGTACACCTGCCAAGTCTGGGGAAAACTGAGCACCAGCGAGAATAATGACGTCGACGGACTGGAACACCACACACACAAGTCCTCACACGTGCACCCTGGTGTTTGAGGAGCACCAGACAAGAGCCAAAGGATGGAAAGAGCCCACATGTCCAGTGACGGACGAACGCGTAAAGATGTGGGGTGTATACGACGGAGCATTAGCCACGAGTCAGAATGAAATCATGCCGCCTGCAACAACGTGGATGCGGCCGCAGTGTATGATGCTAAGCGAAATAGGTCAGAGAAAGACATATCATATGATTCCACTTACATGCTGAATTGAAGAAACAAAACAGATGAACAAAGGAAAAAAGAGAGAGGGAGAAAAAAACCAACAATCAAACTCTTAACTATAGGGAACACAGTGCCGGAAACACAGAGGAAAGGCGGGTGGAGGGATGGGTAAAGTAAGTGATGGGGACTAAAGAGTATACTTACCAAGGCGCGTCAGGGCGCCTGGGTGGCTCAGTCAGTGGAGCACACGACTGTGGGTCTCAAGGTTGTGAGTGTACGCCCCAAATTGGTGTCAAGATTACATTAAAAAAAAAAAAAAAGTAAAATCTTTAAAAAATATATATATACGTAAGATAAACATTGAGGGGCATCTGAGTGGCTCAGTTGGTTAAGCGTCTGACTTCAGCTAAGGTCACGATCTCGCGGTCCGTGAGTTCGAGCCCCGCATCGGTCTCTGGGCTGACAGCTCGGAGCCTGGAGCCTGCTTCAGACTCTCTCTCTCTCTCTCTCTCTCTCTCTCTCTCTCTCTCTATCTCTCTCTCTGTTCCTCCCCCACTCATGCTCTGTGCCTCTCGAAAAAAAAAAATTAAACAAAAAACATAAGCACTGAGTGATGTATAGAACTGCTGAATCACTATATTGTGCACCTGAAACTAATAGAACACTGTATGTTAACTATACTGGAATTAACATAAAAAGCTTCTTAAAAAAAATGAAAAAAATCCCCACATTCATAATGAAAGTAAAGAAAAACAAGAAAGCCAAAACCAAAATCAAAATCACTCTCACCACTGCAAGTAACTAGGGAACCAACTTCTTAGCCTGAAAATAAGCAACTAAAGTAAAAGAACTCACCAACTGTCCTGCTCTCCTTAACTCAGATACAGAAAGTTTGTTCCTCTTTGTTAAAGAAAAATTTCAGCCAATCGATGTGACAGAAATGATGGAATCAGAAAGCCAGTATTCTGTAACCACCGCTTGATTAAACCAAGACCTACAATGATGAAACCAGCATGTGCAGGCTGGTAGGAAATTCAGGCTTCCCAGCTTCACCGCCTGCTGGGCACCCAGTGTGATGCCAGATCCACAAACAGCACCAGTTGCCAAGCATCTTATCCAATAGTGGGACCTGAAGCCCATCAGGGCTTTCACGCTATGGAAAGAAATCAAATACCACGGCAATCCCTGGAAACAAAAAGGCAAGTCCAGAATGGAGATACTCGAAAGGGAAATTAAGCCAGTTTTTTCCAGCAGGTCTGTGACACGAGACAAGAGGCAGGTTGGAGAGCGGTGAGGATGCTCTGGATTAAAAGAGACATAAGGCAACTAGACAACGTGTGGACCTCGTTTGGATGCTGATTCGGATAAATTAACTGTAAAAACACATTTTTCAGAGAGACAGGAAATGTGAATATGGGCTAGATATTAGAAAACAGGAAGGAATTATGGTTAACTTCGCAGACAGGATCCCTGCATCATGGCTAGGTTTTCTGAGGTGCACACTGAGGCAGAGGAAAAATAACACGCCACCTTTCTGGATTTTCTCTAAAATAGTTCAAGCTAAAACAACAACAAAAACTAATGAATTGAGAACAACAAATGTTGAAAATTCTTAAGTCTGGGGGAGGAATATAAATGAGTCTCATCTATTAGACTTTCTTACTAAAAATGTTTAATATAAAAATAAATTACAATTACATATTATTAACTATAAAATAAACCTATTTTCATAAAAATACAGATGCTCTAGAAAAAACTCAAGGAAGCTGATTCCATAAATAGATAATGAATGAACATCAGAGGCCAAGCATCTGTTGCTTACACTGAGCAAGCGGCAAGTGTGCGGAGGAAAGAGACAAAGTGAGGCAGGGCCTTGGAGATGGCCAGATATTAGTTAAAGCTCCAGTATTTTCACTTAAAGCTCATGTGGCTCTGTGCAAGATGCCGGAGTTCTCTCGCTTCCTGTCTGCAAAACAGAGAGGCTCCTCTCCTCCACAGGGTTTTGTGGTTACTGCACATCAATGGTATATAAAAGCACCTGCCGTAAGTAAGGACTGGGCAATACAGGTCACTCCCCATGTACACATTCTCAAGCGCTCCTATCAAATGAGAATTAGTTTGCAAGGTACACAGTCCCATCTCTAGCAGAAAACAAAAACATATAAACAAACAAAAAAAGCAAAAAACTGAGCACATATTTCCAAAAAGTATTGGAAAAATGCAAAATATCAAGCTTTATATAAAAAAAAAACACACTTTACAACATTTATAATTGTTTTGGAAATTCAATATCCAAAAGTTCAAATCATTTCCAACCATCTGACTGCAACCAAATCAACATACGTGAAATTTTGTAACGTCTTCTTATTCAAAGAAAATAACCATGTTCTTGAACTCTGCCTGGATATTATCCTATCAAAAAAGAAAATCCAACAATATAAAATAAGAAAACTTGTTTTAATATCCTGCTTCCTAAATCTGCATGGAGATCCTTTTTTTTTTTAAGTAGGTGAAATGTGAAAAAGGAATTTCTGAGTTTGAACTAGGGTAACGCACCATGCAAACTGTATGCCCAAATTGGTAGACTATCATTTACGGTATTTATGGTAATTTTCTCATCAAAGCAAAATAAATACTCTGGCGACTGATTCAAAGAAGCTTCCTATAATCAAAATGCTTCCATCTGTATCTTTTCACTACAGCAGCAAGGTAGAATAAAAACTGAATTCACATTATTCAACCTATTTGATTAAAAAAACAAACTTCGTGCAACTTACTGTATTAGCAAACACACGTGCAATACAATTTTAAAACACAGGCTGTTAGTTTGAGTCCTCTGTATCTTTTTTTTTTTTTTTTTTTTTTTTTTTTTGAGATTTAACAGTTTAATAACGACTCCTCCACAGCCCGACGGGGCAGCTACCGCACCACGTCTCACAGCAGGACCCAACGGGCACCCCACGCTTGCCCCGGGGGTGGCTGACTGGAGGCCCTGAGGACACAGAGCGCCCTCCCTGCCCGCTGGCCTGCACAGCAGGACCTCTCCTCAGAGCAGCGGCCAGGCCTGAGCGCGACCCTAAGAGTCCTCTGTATCTTAAAACCTTTCACCTATTACACAAGACATTTCAGAGGGGATGGGACAGAGGTGAAAAGAACAAATCAGAAACAAAATAACTTCTGGATAGAGGGTGCAACAGTAGGGACATGAATTATTACTGCCCTATAGCTGGGATTTTATAAACAAAATACTTTCTTTTGATGCACATACCTGGCATTCTCTCCCTTGGAATCATGAACATCTTGAACAGCGTATCTGGTGCCAACCAGCACCTCCTGACTTTACTTCCTGTTTCGCTCTTTGAATTACCAAATGACCCCAGCAGACTGGAATGTCACTTAGTACCAGGCAAGAGAAAAACAAAAAGGTAAGGTGCATAAATCAGCCCAGGGACTTTGAAAAGCACTCCTGTTTTTGAGGAGGATTTTTAGCAGTACTAATTTACAAAAGGAGCATAGAATCTCTAGTAGGGACAAAGTAACATGTAACAGTTCACAGTTCAATTGAGAAGTTTTCTTAACACAACTACAAAAGAGAATTATCATAAAGAGAAGCAATCACTGAAGAGATTCTCATTTAACATTACTGATGGGGCGCCTGGGGGGCTCAGCCAGTTAAGCATCCGACTTCGGCTCAGGTCACGATCTCAGGTCATGATCTCATGGTCTTTGAGTTTGAGCCCTGTGTTGGGCTCTGTGCTGACAGCTCGGAGCCTGGAACCTGCTTCAGATTCTGTGTCTCCCTCTCTCTCTGACCCTCCCCCGCTCATGCTCTGCTCTCTCCCTGTCTCAAAAATAAATAAAACATTAAAAAAATTTTTTTTAATTAAAAAAAAAAATTACTGAAATATTCCGCTTGCTAGAACACTTTCACCTCTTATTCTAGACTCGTCCGGCCACACTGTTTAACATACACCCCAGGCTAACACACACATACATACAGGGATTACAAAAAGGACATTCTGGAATAAATTCCTGAGGTAATTAATGGAATGTCATAACTATGAACTCAAAAACAAAAGATAAAAAAAAAATATATGGTGTTAGGTTCCATGAAATAAAAACCTAAAAATCACTGACTGTGTTTTTATGAAGTTACGCTTTTCACAAAATCTCAAGAATCTTAAGATTTTTCAAGACGATGCTACTGTGTCCAGATGTCACTGCACACACGGTAAGAAACAGCGACAAATAAGAAATTTTTTTGCAATTTAAGACATGCAACGCAGAGTGAACCTAAAACATACAGTATCAAACCTAAGCGCGTCATCGGAAACCTCTCTCCTACAAATAACACCAACTGATACAAAGATTAGCAGGTGGATCTAAATTTCTGTCCTGAGATGAACAAGGAGGATATTCTGCTACAGCAAACAAAAAAGGGGAAAAAAACAAAACTCAAGTAATAATGATGATAATACAATACAAATATAAAGAGCATTTAACATCTCTAGGTATTCATCCTAAGACTTTTCATTCGTTCTGAATGGAAGTGCAGACCTTGCCCCAAACACGGGGCCAAGTGCTCTTCACGCCCTGGCGACCTCGATTCTATGAGGCCAGTACTATTACCTTCCTATCTTGCAAATGAGGACCTGAGTCCTAGACCAAGTCGCCTGACCATGATGGCAGCTAATACTGGTGGCGGGGATTTCTACTTAGGCAATTTGGAAACAAGAGCCCATACCTGTTTAACCAGGAGGCAACACTGCCTCTTACCCTACTGTATAAAAATTAGCCTGTGCACTTCCCAGTTCTAGCAATATGGGAGACTAACCATTCAGGAACCGTGACATTATACGATAAATAATGCAAAACACGCTTCCTCTTAAATAGACTGCCGAGTTTATAAAAAAGAAAAATCCAAGCAGGCAGGCCAGAAAAGCAGGTGTAGGGGGGTGAACTCCTGAATGACCCAGTGGGGGGCACCAGCCACCTGCAGGAAGGAGGAGGTGTGCTACCACAACGCAAAGAGATTCCAGCGGACTAAATCTCTAAACATAAAAAGCCAAACTGTAAAATTTTCAGAATAAAACATGGGATATAGGCATCAAACAAGAAAAAGTATAAAACTTAAAAAAAATGATAACCCAACTACATTTCAAAAATTTTTATATCTATGTGCAGAAGACACTGTAAAATATGAGCAATCATAAACGTATTTCTAAAATATATAAATTATGAAAAATTAGGATTCAAATTTTTCAAAGAACTTCTATAAGTCAACATGAAAAAGACAAATAGCTCACTGGAAAAAAAAAACATATAAAGAGGCAATTCAAAGAGAAAATCAGAATGACCATAAACATAAGAAAACACATCCATTCACTGAAATCAGCCTACTATAAGCAATAATTATTTCATATATTCCAGGTTGTAAAAAAAAAAAAAAATCTGAATATACTGCGAATGTAGGAAATTCTAAAGTTTGGAATGTAAATTGATATAACCATCTCATAGATCAATTTGCCAGGCCTGGTAAATTAGAATTTCTGCACGGCCTATGACCAAGAAATGAGTAGGCAACCATGCTAAAAATGTTCATTAGCGCAGAAGGACACATGGACCAGGGTGTTTATTAAATCTACATTTATAACAATAGAAAAATAGAAATAACCTGATCATCTCTAGGCAGGAGTAGAGATAAGTGAACCATGGCTCATACGGACAGTGGAATACTACAGAACAGTTCACATAAATGAATTCTCATCCACAGCTGCAAGTTAGTAGTTACCTCTGGAAAGGCAGAGAAGCCCTTTGGCTGTGTCTCTAACGATTAGGTCCTTAACGTGTCTGAGCCTCAATTCAACTGAAAGAGAAATGACAGAACGTCCCTGCTGATCTGGGAATTAAATGAAATAACAGACTGGCTGACTGTAGCACCAAGGTCACTGTGAGGCGACTATACGTCCCGAACTCAAGGAGGCACTCGGAAAACTTGCTGCCCAGGGAGAAGCCCGTGTTTCCCAAGGTGCTGTTCCCACAATAAAAGAACTGTCCCCAGAGGCAGCCGCGGTGGAGCCACGGGTCTACTTGGAACCAGTCGGGAGTTCTTTAGGACAAAGGTTCTCCACATTTTTCCAGTAATAAATCTCAAGGAATGGAAGGACGGGGAAGGGAGACAATTGTCCACAAGGGAGGAAAAAACAAAAATCAACACCACGGTTCAGAATTTCCAAAGCTGGGACACGAATCGGTTCAAAGATGAAGCTCATTTCATAGTCAGGCTTTTGAACTGCATCTAAAATGTAAAAACTACCCATTTAATAAATAAATAAATGTAGACGTTCAGTAATGTGGGAATAACAACTTAGAGTAAATTTTTTTAAAAGAAACGAAAACTTGAAGACTCAGAAGAAATCGAGCCTATGAGACAGAACATTCTTATTTCCAGTTAAATTGTCCTTATCATCATCAACCCCTTCTCCTCTTCTGAATTCCAGGCAAGGGGGAAAGAGTGAGGACAAACTAAAGTAGTCCCTGTCGTCAGGAAGTCAGAATCCAGCGGGAGCGCACACACGGTAATGCCGGAAGGTGGCACATAAGAACCACACAGGGCACAGGGACCCCAAGCCCCGGGGGGGTGTAACGAAGAGGGGACACTCGATCAAGCCCTGACCCTAGGCAAACAGCACTCCGGGGAGAGGGAACAAGCACAGACCCCCCAAGACAGCAGCCCAGCTGGCGTGTCTAAGAAATAACAAGACCACAATGGCTAGGGCAGAATGAGGAGGGGGAAACGGCATCATACTGGGCTTTGTTGGTCAAGGGACACTTCGAGTAATGCAAAAGCCATTCGAGAGTCTGAGCAGAAAAATTACGTTACTTAAGGTTTAGAAGTAGATCTCCGTATAGGACAACAGACTGCAAGAGGGCAAAGGCAGATATGGAAAAGAAGAAGAAAAAAGAGTGGGTAAAAGGGCACTGGAAGAGCCTAGAGAGAGGAGGACAGCTTGGGGCTGGGCCAGCAGTGACAAGCAGAGGCTTCAAGAAGCGGCTAGATGATGAAAATGTTCTGAAAGGAGAGCTGCCACAATTTGCGGACACATTCAATATGAGGTCTGAGAGAAAGAAAGGAATCAAGAATGACTGCCAGGTCGTGGGCATAACAACAGATACATGGACTTGCTGGATGCTTACGAAGCTGGGGAAGGCTCTAAGAGCAGATGTGAGTGGGCCAGCAGGGAATCCGAGTTCCGTTTTGGGCATGGTTACGTTCAGGGCGATGCCTGACCCTAGGGATATGAGCGTGGGCCATTCAGCGCTCAAAATCCTGAGAAGGGAAAACTTCACCGAGCAAGCTAAGTGTGGAGAAGAGAGGAGGCACCTGGGTCAAACCCTGGCGTCTCCATCACTCAGCAAAGCAGAGCGGGCCAGACCTGGGGGCCACGCGAAGGGAAGAGCTCACGGACAACGTGTCAGTGTCACAGCGGCTTATGCAACCATGACTCGGCTTGGCAGCATGAAGGCCAGTGGTGACCTGGCCAGGAGGGGGTCTGGTGAAGTCCGCCTCAGGTGGAAGGCCCTTAGGATAAAGAGCAATGAACATGTTCTAGAAGTTCACGTTCGTGCTTAAAGTTAGACAATGTAAGCTGACAGCGGAGTACATATCTATCCCTCACTGTTTCCCAAGAGCCCAAGTGCTTGACGACGTTCTCTGGTGTCAAGGACTCATTCTTCAACCTTGGGAGTAAAATGGCTCTTTCACACTCATTACCGAATTCCTAGCGTAAATTCATCACGTCCTTGGCTTTACGTAGATTGCCCCATAGCAATGGGGCAAAGGGAGGAGAGGTCAGGAACTGCTACGACACCACTCCGGCAACCTGGAATCCCAGAGGTGCAGGGGTTTGGGGAAAACTATTTGGACATCTGAGCTCAGAATGGACTGGAAGCAAAAAGATCAATCAAAAGGTTACGATGAGGGGGGCTGATATTTTCTTGCAGACGTGTCTGAGAGAACGCTGGAGCTGCTGGGCAAATCTGAGCTCCAAGCCGGCTTCCCAAGTGCACTGACTGCTGCTGGATTCCCCAGAATTCTGTTGATTTCCCTTTCTGCTCCTGTGCTGCTATTCATTATCTATTCCATTTCCTCAGTTCCTAAGATTGGCCAGCAAAATCAAACACAGTTTTTACTTTGTTTTTTAGACTTTTATTTATAGATAATGGTAGATGTGCAATGTTTGTGTGTGTGAAAACATTCCCAAAGATGACCAAAGCGGAGGACTGAAAACCAGCCTGAGTCGGCACTTCCTGAGGAATTTTCACCGACTGCCAGCCTAAAACTCGAAAGCAACGCTAGACTTTGGCACAGGCAAGCCACCCCCTTGACTGCCTGGTCTAGAAAAGCCACACTCCAGATCCTGTGATGACAGCCATCACACATCAACACAGTGAGAGGAGACGGAGCACGTACAATCCCCTCCCGGAAAAGGGAAAGGAGAAGAAAACGCGTGGGAAGCAGCCACCAGGAAATCAGCCCCCGTTAATTCCCTCTTGCAGAGGACCCTGTGACCCAGGAACACCAGCCAAAGCGTTTAGCGTGGAAAGGAGTGTGCACAGCTCGAAGTCGGTAACACGTAGCTAGTCAGTATCACTTTGCCCCCTTGGTCTCAAAATGGTGCCATACTTAAATACGGGCCTTTTTGACTCGAAAACGTTGAAAGTAGAGGACGGGCTCCAATATTAAAATACTTACACTGCCAAGAGACATGAGCAAAACGGAGTCAACCGAGGGAGATCAGAAAAGAACAGAAATAGACTAACACCATCACAAAGAAGACGACGAAGCCTTTTTGTGGCCCTACAATGGCCAACGGATTCTGGCAATTAGGAAATCAGGGCTATCTCAAGAAAAGCAGTTCAGTAGGGCATTCAGGCTGCAAACCCAGAATGGCAGGGCTGGACTGAGCCGGGAGGGAGGCGTCAGATCGCGGAGGAGAAGGCTCAGCAGGTCGTGCCCTCTCTGGGGCCCTTCTCCCCCTCCGGGGGCCACACTTCTCCGGAGTAGCAGCCTTCCAGGAACACTCTTCCCTGCGCCTCACCACCTCCCTCCGCCACCGCCGCTCTCCATTTAACACAACCATCTTCAACAGCGTCATCTCTGCCGTGGCTCCCTCCATCCCACCCACCACCACCGTTGCCCTCATCCCCTGCGGCCACAGCTCTTTAGGGGTCCAGGCAGGAAACTTCTACCTGGAAATTCACAAGTACCTCAAATTCAAACGCTCTCAAAGACAACTTCTTCTTTCCCGCCCAGATCTAATCTAGCACATGTAATTTTTTTTTTTTTTTTTTTTTTAATTCTGGTTAAGGGTACTGCCATCCGTGTAGGTAGCCAAGTTCGGACCTGGGATTAGCCTGGACTTTCTTTTCGCTCAATCTCCTCATCACCCTCCAAATGCCGGCATTTCTCCCTGCACTCTCATTCCCTCCTTCCATGTGAGCTGTGCAGCCTTAGTTCGGGCTCTATCTCGCAAAAAACAAGGGCCAGATAACCTGCAGGTCTCCTGCCTCCAAGCCCGCCCTCCCTACACTCCACAGTCTGCTACCAGGGAGGTCTTGCCGAACGGCAGACTTCATCATACTGTTTCATGGGGAACATTCCTAACTTGGCTAACAAGGCATGTAAGAAAGTGGCCTCCAGACACACAAGAACACACACACACAAACACGCACCATAGTTCAGTCACCACGTTACGCCGGGAAAACAAACGAACACGCCATCTCAGCGGCTTACAACAACAAAGTTTCACTTCTTCGTCATAACACATCAGTGTGTGGGTAGCTGGGGCTGTTGCAGTAGTCTTCATTCCAGTACCGAAGTTCAAAGAATTAGCCCCAGCCTGGGACGTGGGACTTAAAGCGTGGGCTCAGAGTGGCTTGTGTCACTAGCCAAAGCCAGCCGCGTGGTCAAGCCGAGGCCGAGAACGCAAGCATGACCTGGAAGCCTCCTTCAGGACAGAGCAGTGAGTGCGGAGGAACAAGGCGATCTGCAGGTCACAGGTGTGCTTAGACGCGCACAGGCATGCATGCGAATTCAACCAGAATGAGTAGTTTCTTCAGACTGAATTATTTTAAAATAAGTGTGCTACCTTCTTTCTCCGTCTATTTCCTACAAATTCTTCCGAATTCAGAATAAGCATTTCCTAAAATGGGTTCAGTTAAACTTTGCTGATGAGGAATCTAGGAAAGCAGTTACTCTGGCCTTACAGACCAGAGTTTGTTACACTCTGTTCAGTTGTGCACTCTCCTCGCCCCTGCAGAAAAGGTTCTCCTGACAAGTATGCCTCTTGCACTTACAACAGGTACCAGATGATACATATTTGCTGAATGCATAATGCTCTCCGCCAGGAATGCTCTCCCCCTTACCCACATGGAAAATTCCACGAAAGTCTTTATCATCTAAAGGCTCATCTCGACAGTCTATAAAGATGTCCTTGGTCCCCACCATCCAAACAGAGCACCTACCATGTTACTGCCATTTTTGTTTTCAATCCATCTTCCATACTAGAACAGGAGCTATCTGAGAAAAGAACCGTGCGTCCACGAAGTTCTACGTGCTCAGCACTTACAGTGACTGGCCCACAGAAGGTAACTCCTACATGAGTGACGTTGGACATAGAGACAGAGAGGCACACATTTACTGAGTGGAAAAGCCAGGATTCAATCTCGGGCCCAGACTGTTGGCTCTGCTATGGCACCACAACTCCTTAGACCTCAGACCACTTCATCATCTCACGTCTGTAGGTCCAGTCTCTGCCCAGGCCAAAACCCAGCAGGCCCTCAATAACTATTGATCTGAGTAAGTGCCGTATTAGCCTAAGATAAATCCAAAAGAAATGTCTAAATGTCCATCACAAGGCTAAGCCACACTAAAAAGACAAATGAAAACAGGGGCACCTGGGTGGCTCAGCTGGTTGGTTAGGCCTCAGACTCTTGATTTTGGTTCAGGTCATGATCCCAGGGTTGTGGGATCAAGCCCAGCGTCGGACTCCTCAGCTTAGGACTCTCTCCCTCCGTCCGTCCCTCCCTCCCTCCCTCCCTCTCTCTCTCTCCCTTCCTCCCTCCCTTCCTTCCTCTGCCCCTCTCCCCCACTAGCACACTCTCTCCCTAAAAAATAAAACTTAAAAAAAAAGCAAAGTCAAAAACCAAAAACACACCACAAAAGCAATTTTTCATGTCATTTGGCATGAAAAAGGTATTTTCATAAATTTTAATAAATTTTATGAAAACTTAATTTTTAATAAAACTTAATAAAACTTAAAAAAAAAGCAAAGTCAAAAACGAAAAACACACCACAAAAGCAATTTTTCATGTGATTTGGCATGAAAAAGGTATTGACAGGTCAACAGTGTATAACTATTTCCAAAATTTTTGCTCAGTCAGAAGTTCATAGAAGCAAACAATTTTGTTACTATTTAATGTAAAATCTGCAATGGTTCTCAGCAATCAAGCTAGTGATAGCAATTACATGCACTTATAATTATGTACTAAAGATAAAATGTCTAAAAATGTGATTACACTAATAAAATGTAAGCATTCCTGGGGCGCCTGGGTGGCTCAGTCAATTAAGTGTCCAACTCTTGATTGTGGCGCAGGTCATGATCTCACAGTTTGCAGATTCAAGCCCCCGTCAGGCTCTGCACTGACAACACAGAGCCTGCTTGGGATTCTCTCTCTCCCGCCCCCTCTGCCCCTCCCCTGCACGCGCCACACAGGTGCCCTTTCTCTCCCTCTCAAAATAACTAAACTTCAAAAAAGAAAATAAAATGTAAACACCTCTGAAGCACGTGAAACCTGTTCAGAAGCTGTGCAAACCAAAACAAGTGGCATTTGGTGGTTTAGTTGCCACTTGGTTATAAAAATAATAACTTTGTTCAGTTAAATTACATTTATGCTGGAACACAAGACAGGGAAAGCCTGAAGGGGCAAGTGTCTAATCCTCCTACAACACTTGTCTACAGACAACGCCTAGTTTGCTGTTACAAAATTACATGCTAACGTGTGTCAATTATACATACATGTATAACGTATGTACGTAAATTATATAACTTACAATCAGTTATTCAGAATCCTTGAGTCATAGAAGCATACTTCACTTTCCATCCGAACGTCCTCCATGTGAGAAAACACAGGCTTGTAACCAGAGAAGTGAATCTGTGCGTGTACAAAGGTCCGCTGCATCGTCCCTACTACACCCGCTACTGTATCTGAAACTCTCCCTTCTGGTACGAGAATGGCAAATACTTGCTCAGTAGGTGTTAGTTAGGATGGTTAGAACCATCAAGGAACGATCCCTAGAAAACCACTGAAATTCAAACATTACCTGGGGGAAAACTACTAGTTAATACGTCAACAAAACTTTATGAAATTAGATTCACTGAGCCCCAACAGTGACGACCACAAACAAGGTTCCTTTGTGGCTTTACCCTGAAGCCCGACCAGGAAAGGGCTGAGGCAACACCAAGGCAAACCCGAGGAGGATGGCACTGAGAGGAAAGCGCATCGAGAGAGGAAGGGACGGGACGAGTGCAAACTCAAAATCACAGCCATGCGGTCGGAAAGGGTCTGAACACAGCAGTGCCAGAACCTTCGGGAGGCCTCGCCTTTATTTCTCTCCGGCTTAGGAGAGCCGCCAGTGAAGCCATCAAAATTCCCTCACACCCTTCACTCACACTCAGATTGCCGGGTGCCTGGCAAGATCCAAGGTTCCTCTCCAAGTCAAACACGTCTTGCGCCACGCGGGCTACCGTCTCGAAGACAAAGTGACAGAGCTTTAGAAAGTCAATACGCTCAAGTATACGATATAAAAAAACATATATATAAACGCACATAACATACAACAAATAAAAGAGAAAGGGTTCCTTATACCACACTTGTGATTTTTTCTGAAAAACCAAACTCTGATTTATCCTATTTTTATTATTTTCTTTAATATTTGATTTTTAGGTAATCTCTACACTCAACGTGGGGCTCAAACGCACAACCCCAAGATCAAGAGCCACAAGCTCTTCCGAATGAGCCAGCCAGGCGCCCCTCAATTATCCTATTTATAAATTATTTTCCTATAAAACTCCCAAACACCGCTTTCATTGCAGTAATGTTAAATTTTTGATTTCCACAAACACAGTACTTAGGAGAGGGTTCGAGTCAAAATACCAGGGTTCAAAGCACTGCTCCTCGGCTCCCTAGCTGCATACCCTTGAGCAAGTGATCTCATCTCCCTGTGCCTTGGCCTCTTCATCCAAAAACAAGAACAGGAAAAGCACCTACCTCACAGGATTGCTCTAAGAACTGAAGATAATACATGCAAAGCATTTATTAGTAAACATATTTTTTTAATAAAATACACAAGAAGTCTTATTTGCTGAACAATTGAATTTGTAACCAATTCCTCTGTAGATCCACTAAGCATTTTGAGAGAGAGAGAGAGAATCCCAAACAGGCTCTGCCATCAGTGCAGAGTCTGACATGGGGCTCGATCCCATGAACCGTGAGATCATGACCTGAGCAGACAGCAAGAGTTGGATGCTTAACCAATCGAGCGCCCCAGTCACCCCTACAAAATGTTAAGTATTAACAGTTATCAGAATAACCTAGGTAGCTTTCAAAAACTGTATTCCTGACAGCCAAATGGCTGGTTAAGAAATATGATTCAGTAATAAAAATGCAAATAATTAATAAACACAGATAAACAAACATACACGCACACTTCAAGCATCTTCCAAATATTCTAAAACACGCATACCACTCTCATAAAAAAAAAAACAAGTATTTTTAAACATATAATCTTACTACAGTGAAGTAAATGCATAAACTACTTCTAAAACTATGTTTTCAAGAATATATTTCAAAAATAAACCACAAAAAAAAATCACGAATGTTTTCTAACGCTTTCCCAGATTGGCTGGTCTTAATTTTACCGTCCTTGATATTCCCAAGATAACAATTTTCTGAAGGTAATAAGAAAATAATTTTTAAAAACTGAAATCAGCAAATTTAGTACAAAAACACATTAACTATACCAAGAACTCAACAAGGCCACTTTTGCCAAACTTGAATTAAAAACACATTTTTAAATAGTTGAGGTCCTAAACGTTAACTGTAAAAACACTGTCCATGGTACCCCTGGCAAGCTCCACATCTTGAATAAGCAGAAGCTTAGGTGATCGACAAAGGAATTATTTACAAATTCACTTATTCAGCAAATAGGATTTCTTATCTGTATTTTATTACCCTGATAAATTAAAACAATATGTATACTAATAAATACATTTCATTAAGTGGTCAAAAATAATTATAATCAAAATAATTTAGTCATGCTTTTTATAAAAAGGAAATGGTCACCAAAAAATCAAAATGAATTTACACCTAGCAGTAAGTTAATAACACGATACATCTGTTGCAAAACGAGTTGCCACCCAGTAAATAAATTAATCTTCAGTGTTGGTAATCTTAAACATAAATTCAATATTCTAATATTGTTTTTACCACACGCATTTTTTAAAAGTCATACACTTACATATTACTTTGAAGTCTGAAAATTCCGTATTGTGCGTGGCAGGTTTTAGAATATGATTACTATCTCTCTGTGCTTGTACGCTTATGTGTATCTCAGGAAATACACTAGAACTAAGGGAAAACAGTAGTAAAGAAACATCCTTACCGAGTCCATGGTTGGCATGATTCAGACTTCCAATGTGGGAAGGAGAGAAAGAAAGGACACACGAGCGCCAGAAGACAGAAGCCCACACTGAGCAACCCATCCGCCCACCCTAAAACTTGGAATACGTTAGCCCGCGCTGTTCTCTGAACCGGGAACTGACCTGTGGGTGGGAGTGGCCTGTAGCTCAGTCATGGGATGGTATTTTCAATAACAAAAACGTAAATTCTGGCATTTTATTACTGACAAGTAAAAATTAAAATAGGTACTCACATAGAAAACAATCAGATATATAAGAACTGCAAAAAAAAAAATACATGTGGAAATCCACCCTTCCATCATACTGAGCGACATTCACATTTTAAATGAGACGTATGTTAATTTTAGAGCCATAGTTGGAAAATACCATGAATGTTTACCGTGAAGGCTTTAACATCTACCTTCAAATACAAACCAAAATTCAAATACAAACCAAAATCCCTAAGACTAAGTATTGTAGGGCAGAGCTCACAAACCACAGTCTAGGAGTCCCCGGGCTTCCCTCAGATCCCTTCCAGTCAACCACAGAGTCAAAACGTGTTCACGTGAATCCCGTATTTAGCATCAGCCGCTGTCACTGTGTCGGCACCTGTGCTAATGCTCAAAGCAATGACGGGTCAGACTGATAGCCCCTTAGCACAAATCAAGGCAGCAGCATCGAACTGTACTAAGTCAATGAATTTGTCATGGCTATGAATTCACACTTCAAAAAT